ATTCAAAGTCTGGCAATACATGCTTTTCATAGCCTATAGCTATAAAAAATGTGGATCTAAGTTATAAGAAGCTTCATCTGAGAATCCATTCTTATCTGTCAATGGCAATTTGAGCCTCAGAATTTGGATATTTATTTAAAATGTGATGTGGACTTTGCTTAATGTTCTAAGTTGCAAAGGGCAGACATCCCAGAATCCCAGAAATGAGGGGACTCTAAACAACACCTACTCCCATCTTATTAAATTAACAACCTGCCTTTTGGTCTTATACCCCAAACATAAAGCACAATGGTACTTGCCCTTTGCTCCATTCTATATTTACAAATTTGCCTGCTTGCAAAAGTTCATCTGAAACACCAAATCAACATCAGTGGCATTTTGGCAGTGATTGGTGAACACATGCATGCAGAGAATGGTGAAAAGTTTGTCCCTGGATGTATAAGTTGCTAGCTGAAGTGCAACGTACAGACTACTTTGCCTTCTGATTTTAGCCCTCACGTGGTCAACAAATGTCCTTTCTGATGCTGATTTAGTACCATGTTTTTTCTGTATAAAATAGTCCCTAAGTGCTGTGCTGAAATGCCGTGGGGTGCTTTGATGTGTGGGAAGGCTGTGACATGCCTTAGAGAGAAAATCCACGTGTTAGATAAGCTTTATGCAGGCACTGAATGAAGGTGCTGCTGGCTTTGAGTCCTGTGTATGAATCAACTATATATATATATATATATATATATATATATATATATATATCTCCAATAAAGTGTCTTTAAACAGAAATTAAAATAAAGAAAGCTTATGGATTGACTGGTTAATGATAGTGTTGTGACCAGAGGCTGTTGAGAGCCTAAGTCTGAATTTGTAGGGGCAATGATTTAGTATTCATTAACTCAATGTTTGTGAGACTTTATGTAATGTAACTATTGCAAATGACAAGAATTGATGCAAACTTATGCAAAATGACTCATAATTCTTTAAATATGCTAAGTGACAACTTGTACCTGGGCCTTAGCATGTCCCATCTGGCAAGCATTTTCTCAAGCTCCTTCAATTTGCCGCCCCTTTTCATTCTTCAAGATGTAATCCATTAATTCATTTGTCCCTTAGGTGATAGGGAGCTTTACCCACAATTCCTTCTGAATATGCACATGATTACTTTAATATAACCCTGAAGAATAATTTCAAAATCTCTGAAGTGCAGATCGTGCTTATGTGGAAGGGAGCTTTGGGATTGAGCAGGTCCTGTGGGGAGAAGTGGGATGGTTTGACATAGTAGTGTTTTTCCTCTTTCTCCCCTTTGGAGAAATTCTTCCACACTCCTGAGGTTCTATCCTTGTGGATGACTCTGGTTTTGAGCAATTTGAAAGATTTAGGATGGAAAATATTTGAGGACAAACTATATTACCAAAAATATATGAAAAAAAAAAAACTAAACTAAACTAAATTAAAACTAACAGCATCAGGTTGTTTGCTGAATTTCCAGGGGGGAAGAATGGGGACTGTGAGGGTACAGATAAAAGTAGGTAGAGAAAAACTCCTTGCTCACTCTCCTGCCTGAGTCCCATTGGGCACCAAAACCCTCATTTGAGCTATAGGATTTAGAAACACGAAAAGAGAGGCCATGAGCCAGACATGGTGGTGCACACCTATAATCTCAGTAACTTGGGAGGCTAAGGCAGGAGGATTGTGAATTCAAAGCCAGCCTCAGCAACTTAGCGAGGTCCTGAGCAACTTAGTCTCAAAACATATATAAAAAAAAAAGGAGGGGGAGTTGGGATGTTCTCAGTGGTTAAGTGCTCCTGGGTTCAATCTCCAGTACTAAAAAGAAAGAAAAGTGAGTCTGTACCCTCTTTTCCTACTATAGCCCATGCAGGTGGCAGAATTTTGGGGTAGAAATCACCACATTGACAGTTGAGCCTAAAGGGGTCTTAGCAGACTCACAGGGTCATCACCATGGGGAGGGGCTACAGATAGTCTTCACCAGACAGAAGTGCAGAGCAAGTTCCACATTGTCCACAAAGTGTCCACAAAGCTGGGAATGAAGGATGTGTCTTCAACAAGCAGGGGGCTAATGGGATCCAATCTAAGTTGGTGCTTCTGTGTCTAGACTGCTTCGTCCTTCAAAAGGCATCTCCCTGTCCCTTGGACTGAGGCACAAGCCCAGAGAACCACAAATTCATCTAGACAAAGTTTCTGACACCCAGCACAATGGAAGATTTACATAGAAAAATAACAAAAACTGTAGCATATTTCTTAAAACACTGGCATCACTGAGATTTGTACTTACTAGAAATTGTAAAAATAATCATCCGTCAGAACTATGTTGATAAATATGCAATAAATGTCATAAAAAATCTCGGTTATTCAGGAAGAGCTTTCAGGTCAAATGTACTGATACTGAGCCTCTCAAAAAATGCATCTGCGAGGCTGGGGATGTGGCTCAAGCGGTAGTGTACTCGCCTGGCATGCGTGCGGCCTGGGTTCGATCCTCAGCACCACATACAAAGATGTTGTGTCCGCCGAAAACTAAAAAATAAATATTAAAATTCTCTCTTTCTTAAAAAAATGCATCTGTGGCTTATTTGGTATTTCTTTATGTTATTTTATAAACCTTCCATTTATACTTTTGCATGGACTCTCTGTATTCTAAATGAGAATGTCCAGCCTCATCTTCTGCCCCTTCCTGACCCCTGGCCCAATGCCTGGCATATAATAGGTGATTAGTAAGTAATTTTTGAATTAAGAAATAGATATAAAGAACACATAACTATTCATGAAATCCTGCAAACTTACATCAGAGGACACCCTTGGGGTTTAAGGCATACCGTAATTGGTAGAAATGCATAGTTGTCTATCCAATATCCATTCCCTCTTTCAGAGGAATAGTTTGCTCAGCCCTACATGACAACCATCATTGGTCTGTGCTGATGGCTCCCTGCTTCCTGGGCCTCTTCAGCTGTGGTAGTCAAATGATGTGGGTCTGGTTTTTCCCAGAAACTGATATGATAAGGATTTTATATAGCGTCATCTAAGAAAGCATTCATTTTTCTGATTAAAAAAAAATGTTTCTTGTGCAATACTGAGTTCCATTTATCTTGACCTTAAATGTGTTCCAGAGAACTGAAGAGATACCAGCTCTGACATTGTTGAACTGCTGAATAGATACCAGAAGCTGTTGACTTCTGGACTTCTTTTTTTTTTTTTGTAAAAATACATTTTTAATAAACATCAAGAAGTACAGTACACTTTTACTGAGGTTTTACCTTGCAGTTTACAGCAAACATACTATTCATTATAGCATATATATACAAGTAAACTCAGGTTCTTGATTTGTTTTTCTTCCATGGCTGGATAAACCAAATCTGGTGCACCACAATAACATTTAAGGTTATTATCCAAGTTGGTTTCTGTAAAAGGCCTTTAACAACAAATTATTCCCCCTTTACAGTGATAGCCTGATGAATGCTCAAGAGTGACTAAACGAACTATAAATACTTGCTTTCCTTTGATGGATTTAAAAAATAGCAAATCTGAAACACTAAAAAGACAATAAGGAAACAGCTGTTTCTTTTGCCAAGTGAATCCATAATTAAATACTTACTGTGACAACAGATTATGAAGCCAAAGGATTCTCAATGTTTATAGTTATAATTCCAGGAACTAAAAACTATCTAGCCTACTTTTCTTTAACATTGTTTACACAAAGACCAAGGGGTGATGGAATTCTTGATTCTTATGAACCAAAATTTAGTGAGATGAAGGACTGAAATTAATTAGCAAAGAGGGAAAATTAATATTCATCTCAAAATTCCACCTACCACTGTTCTTGGAATGATCAAGATCAGCTACAACTGAGAAGAATGAAAAGAATGAGAACTGAGATAAATCAGAAGCCACAATTTAAAAACTAAAGCCTTGCATGCTTTCTACTGATGCCATTTAAAAATTACACAAATGGATTTATTTCTATGTACATAAAGTAGTATTTGAATTAGGAAAAAAATTCTGTCTCTCTCTCTATATATATCTCTAGAAATATCAGAACCATACTCTCAGATTTGTAAAAGAGGCATAATAATCTGTTTACCATATAACTAGCTGTTTGTAAAATCTTTAATAGTTAATAAAATCCTTGCAAACATAATGCTAATATGTAGCAAATCACACCAACTAAATAAGCAGCTCAAGTTCATAGGGCTAAAAACCCAATATCCCTGAATTTCTAAGTGTTATCTTAGTGTTAACCTGGGTTCATCTAATTGATACCACATCAGAGGAGATTTTTAAAACATGTCCCTCCTTAATACATCATCATACTTTCAGAGGTGGAAAGGTACAACTTAAAGTTCTCTACAACTTTTGCCCATTCTCAAGAATTTGATACAGTGTTATTACAGCATGTAGGATAATGTAGGTGCCCTAAGTATTCAATGAATTGAAATAAAGCAAATTTCCAGAGTTTGGGACTTGCTGGTAGTGTACAACTTGTCTGTCAGGAAGTCTCATCTCTGGGTGAAATATATATATTCCTGGATCAATGACTGAGAAGTTAAGGCCACCTGCTAAAGAAGTCAGACTGTTCCCAAATTGTCAGGTAACAGTTTGATCTTTTCTATTAGATTAAAATTTCTTCTTGGATGGGACCAGATCTCCTATTTTCATGTATCTTCTAAGGCACCTACTAAAGTGTTAGGCAGAGATATACGCTCAAGGAAATAATCATTGATGGGGGCAGGAAATGAATCAAGGGTGAATGTGGTCACAGAAAAGCCATCCCTTACTTCACCCCATTACTCAAACAGCAATCAGTGAGTGAATCTCTAATGTTGTGCTGAAGAACAGACTCATGCCCCCTACCATTTTTTGTCTTCAAGAGAACAAATCACTGGGTTTGAACAACCTTTTTATTTTTCTTTCCCTTTGGAGACTGATTATACGTGGTAATGAGTACTTCTTGATGGATGGTATGTGGAACAAAGGGTGTTTTTTTTTTTTTTGCCTCAGAGAAAGCACCAACCTGTCACATGTCACATTTTAACTTCAGCAATTTACGGAATCATTAACTTTAAAAATTGTTAAATGTTATCTGTAACTAACAGATATTTAAAATGTTAGTTTTACTATGAAATCACTTAAAATCCATTTTGCTTTCAAACATTGGTATGAGGTAGAAGATAAGGAATTCACAAAAGAAAACAATCTTTATCACAACAAGACTATTCAGTACAATTAGCCCCCAAAGAAAAGTTAAAGCCTTAAACTGGTAAATTATTGACTACTGTCAAAATATTACCCTATTTGAAGGAAATTTCTTATATTTGAAATTGCCTTTCTTTTTCCAGTTTAAGGTATTATAGAAAAAGGACACCATACAATCTGAAATACTCAGAAAGACTGAATAAAACAGCTTCTCTTAGTCATCATCTTTACCATGTTGTTCTAAATCACCTCAGTTGTGACACAAGTCCTTTCCACTTAAATTATTGGTCAGATATCAACAAGGAGGTTAAAAACCCTTCCAGTATAAGAAGCAAGATAAAAGGAATGTTTCTCACTTAAAATAACGTAATTTACTCCTCATAAAAACTAGCAGCACTTCATTCTAGCAGGACACACAAATTTGGCTTCATTGACTGGTTAGGAACACAGGAAAATGTATATATAGCTCTTTACATGGGGAGAATGTGAGGCTACAACAAGTTTATTTTTTTTAAACAATTACCTATATCCCCATTAGGTAGTGTGTGAAACTACTGGAATGTCAATTTCAATGGCAGAGAGGCGGGATCGAGCTGAATAGGGCTGGGAGTAAGTGTGCATACTGGGAGGATGGGAGTACAATGGCTGCCAGAAAGGAGAAGGCAAAGATTTGCATGCACAATACCAAATGAACAGTAGAAGGGAAGTCATAAAAAGACCTCCAGCACTAGCGATGGTGACATATACCGCATAGTCAAATGTAAAGACTGGCTCAAACTTCTTGTTCAGATGGATGTTATAAAAGATGACCCAGATGGATGGAGAGAGGCTCACATTACCTGCCATAAAAAACAGCAGCCCAGCCACCAGGTGGCAGCCTGCATTATTGACCAGACACTTGGCCAGTTTGATGTTAGGCACAGAGGACCTAAAGGCTGTATTACACATTCCAATCAGGCAGAGCAGCAAGGCACCCATTGCAATCAGGATGCTGAGGGGCAGGGAAAACTGGAGGACACGCAAGTCCAACTGGTCAACTGATGAGTACCATGTAGGGTCGTACATCAGGCAGTCACTGCTTCCGTCGTACCGGACACATTTCACCCACAGGCCTGTGTAAACAGTCAGGTTCTTCTCATTTCTGTTGAATGTAATCAGTCGTAATTTTCTCCAGTTGGGAAGCAGAGTCCCTGCAAAGAGGCCCGCTACTGAGGCGATCCCACATAGAAAGGAGAGGACTGTGGCTGCGTGGACATCCCGACAGCCCATGGCAGGCAGGCTTGTGCAGTACTTTCAATCAGATCTTTGAGGTACCTGAAGTTCTAAAACAGCTTTAGTCAACTTAGAAGAAACCCATGTACATCTGAACACACAGTAGAGATGATTTGGGACTGTTCCTCACAGCCAGGGCATTTCACTCGCCCACACTGAGGAGCCTCTTGGAACATCTCCCTCCGACTTCTGGACTTCTTTGTGTGGGAAAACCCAGACCTGACTGTGTAAGCCGCTGTCAAGTGTTCTATTACTTGCAGACAGAGCATTTCTAAATGAGGCACTGATAGAGATTAGATAGAGAGGTGTAAGACAGAAATGGGAGAGTGCTTTCCCTGAGTTTTTCTCAGAAGAGTTAAGTTATGGTCTTCCTCAAGAAGGTGGGAATTGTGGGAATGTGTGAGTCAAGTTAGGATAGCTAATGCTGAAGTCATGGGTCTGTGAGATACTACCCTCAGGCAATCTGCCCTACAGCCTGTTTTTTGTGAGCAATCCCAGCAGTGGGGGAAGCAAAGAGATTGACAAATGCTATTCGACTACTAGTTCTGCCAAGCCTTTTGGCCACATATGTTTATCTAAGTTTAAATGAAAAATTCTGTTCCTTAGTTGCTGTTGAAAGTATAATTATCAGTTACATTTCAAGTGCTCAACAGCCATATATTAGTGGCTACTATATCAGGCAGTACAGATATAGAACATTCATATCATCATAGAAAGTTTTATTTGACAACATTGCTTTATAATAGGAGTGTAACCCTCTTTTGGTAAAGGAAAGGTAGTACACATTTTAGGTTTTGCAGGCCAAGAGGTTAACTTGAAGATATCATGTGTTTGTGGCAACTACTTTTTTGCCCTTGTAGCTCAAAATCAGTTAAAGACAATGTACTGGATGAATGAATGGGATGTACTGAATAAATGAATGGGTGTAGTTGTGTTCTCGTAAAACTTCCATTTACTAAAGCAGGCCCTGGCCCTGTTTGTTGACTTCTGCTTTCTAGTATTAGCTACCAAGATGTTAGACTTTTAGTATAAACTATTCTAATCTAATACTTTTATGTCATCTGGGTATTCAGTAGAATGTAACTTTGATGTCATTCTAAAAATTTCATACATCACTAACATATGCTTAGAACAAATGTAAAGAATCAGCACATAAATGTTCCTTTCTGGAGTAAAAAACAATCCTGCTTCAGCAAAATGTTATACTTTTTAGTAATTTTTTTATTCCAAATTATTTGTCTTTTTTTTTCTTCAGTTGAGCATGTTGAGGGCTTAAAATTGGCACAAAGTATCATAAGAAATTTAATAGAAAGTATAATGATCTGATTTAGACCAATTTGATTCTTTGTCTGCTGAGTCGTTAGCAGGGATGCTGACACACTTACCAGAGCACAGGACCAGAGGGTAGTAGAAAATATTCACTAACTTTGTGACCTTGGGAAAATAAGTCACTTGATCAGCCTTATATTTTCTAATGCAACCTTCTAGCAGATTAGGTTGCAGGTGTATGGTGGCCATATTATTATCCTAAACTGCCACCCTGGTAGATGCACTTTTTATTGGACAATGTCTCCCCCTACTGGATTTCTGCTATATCTGCAAGCGAATTCTCTCAGGGCACCTTTCTGGCTTTGCTTCATTTAATTTGATAGAGCTGTTTGCTCAGACCTAACTCTTCTGACCATATGTCATGTCTTGAGTTTCAGTTTTTAATTCACGATCAGTGAGACACAGTGCAAATAAGAAATTTAAAAAGTCCCTTTATTTCTTTTAATTAAAATAAAAAGGCACAAAATACAATAGAATTAGAAAGGATTTTAGATAGCATGTAAAACATTTAAACAAATATTATAAACTGTTTTCAAATACATAGTGAAATTGGAAGACTATAAAAACTTGGGAAGAAACTACACACTGACCTCAGGACAGAGGTTGCCCCTGGGCAGAGAGGAAGGTGAATGGGATTGGAAAAGGGGAACTTTTAATGTATTAATGAATTAAGGCAAATATGGCAAAATATTTATGTAACAAATGTGTCAAAATGATTTTATGTTCTCACACCACTTGTTTCATATGTGCCTTATGGAAACTTCCCTTTCTTATGCCTGAGTGATATTTTGGGGGGCAGATCCTATAGTTTTTTTTATATCACCTTTAGGCGTCAATTCCTTTAAAAGTCATTAAAGAGTCCAGTATGATCTAAACAGAAGCTTAAAGCATCCTCCATCTTCCCTTTCTGGAATGTGACAGGCTCAGAAACTTTCAGTGCTGGCCTCCTTTCTACTTCTCTACCCCACTCTGTGCTTTCCCCTGACCTTCAGGGGCTGTGGGGAAGACAAAGACTGGGAGGAAACATCTCTTTTAACTGGTGTGTGGTTTGAGTTGGTGTCCTCTGGCAGTGGCAGATGCCCATGTGATGTGGGCACACATCTGGGGCTATTTGGAGACCTTTATTCCATGAGGGAATCTCTCTGGTACTTGCTCTGACACCTCCTCCATTCCTGCTCCTGGTGGTGCACACCCACAAAGACCCTCTCTGCTCAGGTCACAAAGCCATGTCTTCTGGGCTTCTTGAGTGGGGTGGCTTCTGGATGCTACATTGTGCTACCTTCCCTTCCTGCTATGGGAAACATACGTCTGTATCATGTTGGGGAGTACAGCCTGTTTAGTGGAAACCTCTCATCTCTGGGCCAGGCATCCTCTCCCTTTGTCAGTCTCTGTGTCCTCCAGACTCTGGGGTAGAGTGTGGTGTCCTGTCAGTGGCCCTCACTTGGAGTGAGTGAATGGGTGACCTACAACCCTTGGCCAGTGGAAGAGGCTCTGAACTCTGTTCAGAGAGATCCTCACTTACAATTTCAGGGCAATTTTAGGTCTTTCATTTGTAGCCTGGAGACTTATGGGTATAAGGTGGCAGAACATGTTTTAGGTAACCTTTAGCAAGCGTTGCCTCAATGACTTTGTATCTCTTTTTAGAATGAATAGAACATGTTTTATTTTACCTCTTGGACAATTGTCTGTGCCCCTGTGAAAGCAGAATTCTAAAAGGGGGACCTCTGTCTAGAATCCTGTATCTGTAATTGCAGCCATAGGCAGGCATGTGTGTCCTTGCTCTTCAGAGCTGGCTTCAGCCTGAGCCTCCTTTATAAGTTGAGGACTTTTGGGATGAGTGTAGTTCACAGGGCTACCAATGTAGTTGTGATGTTTGGGCCTTGGAACAAAGCATTTGTTATATTACTTTTTTTTTGCCATGTAGAAATATTTCTTAATCGAATTAAGAAGTTATTTTAGTAAACTACTAGTGAGGAGGCTAAGATCCAGCCAGGCTAACAGCCTCTCGGAAGTCACATATGCAGAATTAGAACCCACAGATGGTATATAGCCTTGACATCTATGATGTCATTTTACCATGGCACAGAACTGTGGTCCTCAGTGTTTTTTTTTTTTTTTTAAACTTAATATGAGTTTGAGGTTAAAAACAATCTTACCTCAATCTACAGCACTACCACCAAACAAAACGAACAAACAAATAACAAACAAAAAACATACCACAAAACCACAGTCTTACCTTAACTAATAGCAAGGGGACTAATTATAGAAGTATTCTTAAAGGGCATCAAATTAAAGGTAATTTTCTGAAATTTTGTAGTAGCTGGAATCTTAATTACCTCTCAAGGAATAGCAATAAACTTACACATAGGTCTAGATCATCAATACACACACATGTAGACATAATGGCTTGAAGTCATTGTGAAACTAAAGTCATATTATTCTAATTAACAGATTATTTCGATAATTAACATTTAAGCAATTTTAATTTTATGAAAAGCAAACAGCATGTTATTGTGTTATTGAAAGTTTAGACTACCTTCTGTCTTCCAGGGATTATTTCCATCCATTTGTCCATCCATCCATCCATCCATTCATGCATACATACATACATCTATCCAACAAATACTTATTAGGGGTCCAGTATGTCTACCTCCCTCATGATGCCCTTTCTCCACCCAGGTGTGAACTTACTTAATCCTACTAACTTCTGATAATTTTGTCTCACTATTACTCTGCCAACAAGGGATGATTTCAACAGAGCTGGTTTCAGAGGCCAAAGCCTGTTTTAGGGTCAATGACAAGAATGGTCTAAATTGTGAAGACTGGTTAGAATACTCTGGAAATTTGAAGGTGTCCCAAATGCAATAGATTTTTATTAAGTAGCGTAGTTAGGGCAGGTTTCACTCCCAGCCCCCTCTTATTGCCCTGTTCTTGCTACCTGGTCTTATGGTTTCTGTTCTGATACACCAGCATTTGGGTCTTCCTTCTTGTGATCAGGTGATTATGGTGAGGCAGCACACATGGCACCCCGCCAGGAGTGTGTGGCATGAGCAACTGCATGTGTGTGTGCATGAGTGTGCCAAAGAAGCCAAGAGTGGCAACTTTTAAATGAGGTACATATAGACATCTCCTTTACCTTAAATGCAAAGAGGAGGAAGTTCAGAATGCTTCAGATTAGGTCCACATTTCCAAACACTATTGTTGGGATTTTTCCCCACTTTTAAAATTTGTTCTAATTAGTTAAACATGATAGTAGAAATAACTTTGACATAAATACAGCATAATTCCTCATTATTCTGGTTGTATATGACATAGAATCACACTGGTTGTATGTACATAGGGTAATAATGTCTGATTCATTCTGTTATCTTTTTACCCCCAGGCCTCCTCCCCCCTTTCACTCCCTTCTATCTAATCCAAAGTAACTCTATTCTTCCCTAGACTACCCCCTTATTGTGAATTAATAGCCACATAACAGAGAAAACATTTAGCCTTTGGTTTTTTGTGATTGGCTTATTTCATTTAGCATGATATTGTCCAGCTCCATCCATTCAGCAGCAAGTGCCATAATATCATTCTTTTGTCAAAGCTGAGTAATATTCCATTGTGTATATATGCCACATTTTCTTTATCCACTCATTTGTTGAAGGACACCTAGGTTGGTTCCATAGTTTAGCTAATGTGAACTGAGCTGCGATAAACATTGATGTGGCTGCATCACTGTAATATGCTGATTTTAAGTCCTTTGGGACTTAAAATTCTGTATCATTGGTCTACGTGTCTATGTTTTTAAATTCATTGTGTGATTTGAAGTATATGCTTCCCTTTATTTATATATTAGCATGAAT